GGTAACTCATTATCAAGGTTGTAAGGATCGATAATGAGAGAGTATAGGTAATCGAATATGGCAAATCAGAAAATGGCTATGAGCGGCCTCTAGGAGCAATACTATTTTTAGGGTACCGGTCTCTATAGGGTATCGGCCTGTCGTGTCCAACAGTTGAAAGAAATAGGATAAAAGGGAAGGGATCTGACATGTCTTCATTCTGATCGTAATTACTCTTTAATGAGCCGGCAAATTAACGAAAGAGGAAGATGGACATATACACATTCATTCTCTAGCACGAGATGTTACTGTCGAGACCAGCCAAATCTGGATGATTTGGAGGGACAATATTTCGGCGGATTTAGCACCGATTAGTGCTTTTCGGTAAACCGTAAGTGCCTCTTCATAGTCGCCTTGAATAAGCTTTATTTATCCCAGCTGATTGTAGAGAATCGCTTTCTCACTTTGATTGGGTGTCTTATCAAAGAGTACCTCATAGACTTGTCCTGCTTTATCGGACGCCTAGTTTAATCAGTAACATACCTAGTCGATACCACCCTTTTGATCCTTCAAACGTTTCTTTTTGTATCTGTTGGGTGAGATCATTGAGTAGCGGGTCGTTGTCACTGGTTAGTGTGGGTTCTACTTGTCAGAGTCGATGATTGTTGTTCAACTGTCTGGTGTCACAGATTCGAAAAACGGTGTGCATCGAGAAGAGAATCTCTTTTTCTTTATCCTGGTAATAACTGACATTGTTTAGTAGAGCAAACGGCGCCGATTCCACTGATGGATCAATCGTTATTTTGAAGAGAATACCCATGAGTTCGGACTTCTTTAAAGCTGTGTAAGCAAATCCGAGAGAGACTTCTCTGTTTTTACTAGTCGACAAGAAATTGTTAAACGATATCAGTCCATCTTTTGTTTTCTGCAGTTTTTTTTTATAGTTATGCATATTTTTATACATTTTTATGTTGTGCAAACGTTACAACTGTTCTCAGGTTCAAGAAAACGGCACCGTTAACGGTAAGTTAACGTGCCGTAAACGGACCGTTTTCAGAACCTAAAACTCGTTTTTTAAGCACGTTTTCTCTTGATGATAAATGCATTGCTCCACTAATGGTCAATGATGCTAAATATTGCAAGTCATAAATAGGGCGTAGATATGACGGAATTGTATCAATGAAGGTTGCTTTGGAATAAATTTGTTTGAGAAGAGCGTAAACAACGACAGCATAAGTGATTACTGGCAGAATGTATGATTTAAATATCTGATCGAGAGTGGATGTACAATTACATTTTTTTTATTATATAACGAATGTGAATTGCCCAATCTAACGAACTCTTGAGAAAAACACCGAGATGTTAGTGACGATCAACAAAACTGAAAAGAGAACAACTATCAAGAAAAAGTGAAGCGGTGATTGCAACTCGTCCAGATAACATCCCTATAAATTTTTTAGGTTTAAACGTAATTGTCAAAATTTTGATCATTTGTTTATGCTTTCTAAGATAATAGTTATCGATAGTAAGATTGATAGTTGTACTCAAAATATCATTACCACTGTGGTATAGAGATGTAGCCTAAGCAAATAACCGTATTTTAGATTGTGTTTGTAAAGAAATGTCAGCAATAAACAGAACGAATAGCAGAGTATTATGTCACGTACTAGAGTCGTGCCATAAGGAAGAAGATCATAGTCAAGGTTATTGCGCAAGAATATTCAAGGCTATAGTGCAAAAATATTCAAGGTTATTGCGTAGAGTATAGTCAAGATTATTGCGCGTATAAATAGATCGAGTTTTATTGTTAAAGGATAACTTTTTTGTTTGTTAATAAACGGTGGTCATACACATCAGAAAAGGCGAACCATAACACAGAGGCCCCTGGGGTACTCCTTTGTTTATCGGCAGTGGAACGGATGTTTGACCGTTGACAACTGTGACACATTGTCAGTGGTAATTCAGCCCCACAAGCCCATGACATGGAAACAAATCCTCTTACGGCTATTCTAGTCTCGTGGTCTTCTACGTATGCCCAAAATATGAGCTAAACAGCGATTGGGCACCTCTGAATATAGAATCAAACACGTGGTGACAGTGACGCTAGAAAAAAAAATACGATCAACATTTTCGTCTTTCGTTTTTTTTGTCGTTCTCTCTTATTGGCTTTAGTCGTAGATGTTCGGTGAGAACGAACAAGAGGACGACAGAAGCTTGATATTGGTCGTGAAAGAATATTACATATGTCTCTCAACGACATTTTCGATGATTTAATGATAAAAGTTATTCAGAAACGTAGGACTTAAGATGTGGGTGATTCTGGTCTGTACAAATAGTCATCCTACAGCAGTCCATTCACTTTTACTTGCAATTTGAACGACTAACGAATTAGTTGCACCCGCACCCTTAATATCGGCTACCGTCATGTTATCTCTTTATATTCAGTTTTAGTTTGTGAGATCACGTTGGGAAAGGTTTATTTACTTAGACACTGTGGTAATAAAATAAGGCTAGTGTCGAGCATTGTGACGTTACACGATAGATAAGACATCTGCTACTGTGAATTCAACACCCCAAAACAACGATGTTGACGTAAAAACGAACAAAATCGATGCTTCAGAAAAGGATTATCAAGTAGTAGAAGACTCGAACGACGTTATTCAACCAACTCAAGATTCAAAGAAGTCACAAGATATTGTGTCCAATTCGAATCAATCGATTCAAATATTGTCAATTGATGTCGAATGCGCAGCTACAGGATATTCTCATCTTGATCGAGCACCATGTAGTGTGGCCATCGTCAATGATCGATGTGAGATCCTCTTCGATTCATTGATCAAACCAGACAAACCTATTGTCAGCGATCTGTTTCTCTTCAGTGGTGTGCGTAAAGTAGATCTTCACCATGCTCCATCTTTCGGTGAAGTAATCAAAAAGATAATTAATATAAGTTGAATAGTTGTGTTCTTTTGTCTATTATTCAGTTAAACTCTTATAACCTTTCACGTGGTTAGTATATTGCTTTGAAAAAGTACATATATATTCTACCGGGAATGTTCTACAAAAGATTCAGATTTTGAATAAAGCAAATCAATTCCCATGTGTTGCGCGAGAGATGAAAATGGAAAATATTCAACCAATTTCTAAAACAACATAACTAAAATGTATTCTTTATATAGAATACGAACGCCGTATTATTCCAACAAAAAAGGATTGGGCATTTTTGTTGATGATATACAAAATTCGTCGTGCACTTAGCAATGTTACTATCGGTTTAACATGCAATCTGTTAAAATTATATCCCAATGAATACAATGAAAACATACCACCAAGCTGGGATACAGTAAAGTAGGTTTCTAAAAGATGTTCAGAAATATTTTCAAAGAGAGAAAGAAGGCGTTCACTAATCTAGCGACGACAACTGTAAACCTGTTCAAGTCTATTTCTTTAACTAATGTTTCTCTTCATTTTGGTATGCACATGTCTAGATATGCATTATCGAAAAATTTATTGCCTAGTTTTAAAATATTTAATTATCATGAAAATTGTACATCTGTTTCAACATCTACTGTCTGTACATGTGGTTCTACTAAATTATTGCGACTTTGTTATTCATCATTAATAAAACAAATGCAACAAATTTTGTCTATAAGAGGAACATATACTAAATTTTGTAATACACGTGAGAAACTATTATATACTCATCAACATACAGATTATGGACAATTTTTAAATTTTACTCCGGATAATTACTTTACATTAATAATTAATTCAGATGCAGTTGAACTTCGTAATGGTAAAAATGTTGTTCTGCAAATTTATAGTTAAACCTAGAATTGTACATAGAGTAGATATCTGTGGAGAGAAACTTTTTGTCATGATTACAGACTTGCAGTATGATGAAAAAGCGTTGGTAAGGATCTCTGATGGGACTCACTTCAAGTGCACAAAACTTATTTTAACAAATTGTATAGGCCAGTGTAAAAATATATTACACAGAAACTAATAGTGGCGAGCATGGAGAAAAAATTCAGGAATTTTTCACATCTGTTAACAAGCAGGAAAAATCGAAGGATTTTAAATCTTAAACTATAGTTTCTACCAGTCGATAATGCCCTGTCATTCAGCCAGCCGATTCTGGATCCTTTTCTTCGTACTGCAAAGATACTTAATGCACAGTTTAGAGAGCGCCTGCAGATTGAAAGGACAAGACTTTGTTTTTACTTTTGAAGGAGTCAGTATTTGGCCATTTCTTCTTGCCATTAACGAATTGCCTATTAGTGGACGTTATTCACTAGCAAATCTTCTTCTTCCTACAATTTGGCCTACGGGGAAACTACCGACACTATTTCACCTATAAATTTCTATTAAAATTATCGTTTCCGATTTACTACTATTGGAGGGTTAACAGATGTGAAAAATTTCCGAATTTTCCTCCATGCTCGCCACTATTAGTTTCTGTGCATCGGGCTGAATATAGGCTCGATTGGACTGATAACAATAGATGAAAAACTAGATGCATCGCCTCTTAAATCGTTTGATACATCTAGTAAACGATAGATATTTTATTTAGGTATCGATCTCTATAACGCTAACTGTATTGCCCATTATATCGGACACTGAATCTAATAGGATATAGGGTTGTTAAGACTGGTAAATGTAGATGAAAAACTAGATGTATTGCCTTTTATATTGAGCGATGCATCTAGGAAAACGAAGGTTTATGTACGTATACTTCTACCTAACACTAGCTGCATCGACTGATACATCTACCGAAAGAAGGTTTTGTACTGTGTTCAATAATCGCTACGAAACCAGATGCATTGTACGATGAGTCGCTGAATGCATCTGTTGTACACTGGCTAATCTCTTACTAGATGCATCGGATATTGCATCGTGTAATCGAGTAAAACCCGATGCATCTTGATAACCCGATATTTTTTACTCTTTTATCTAGATACTTTTGCTGGAGTATCAGGCGATTCCCCAGCAAGTGTATCTAGATTTTTTCGCTTACGAATTCATGCTTGGGTAGCTTCGATAATATCATCAATATGCTCATCTTTATTAATATTATCTATCTCATTGTATTCAATAATACCATCTATTACATTGTATTCAACAATATCATAAATATCATCAATATCATCAGTACGACACAATAATGCTTTATGTAAAATATTTAGAGATTTTAAAATATTATTCACAAGTTTACTTATTTGACTTTCAATAATATACAGCTTTGAACGACACTTAATGGGCAGTGCATCTATATTTCTTTCATGTTCAATATATTCGTGTAACGTATGTTTTAATGCTTCTATGTTGAACGTTTGATTAATAACTTTTGTAAATTCTTCCACTGATGAGTCATATATCAATACATTTATTTGTTGAGACGATAAATCGTACATATTTGTTTTGTTTAATTCGTACAATTTTGTCACTTCAGAATCATCCTTTTTATATTTATTCATCCAATGGAGGCCACCGTTCAAAAGTAATTTATCATCCAAAATCTGGTTTATTAATAATAAATGTAATTTGAAAATATGTTTATTGTTTAAAATATTCTTATCTTCAATATACATACTTAATGTTGAAATTAATATACTTTTGACATCAATTTGCTGTTTTTTAATGGGGGATAACGATAGCACAGAACATAAATTCAACATAATATTTGCTAAAAAGTCTTGATTTAATTTTGTTCTTTTGTAAACGATCATATTGTATAAAATTGTAAAATTTACATCTTTACAATTTTCTGCCTTTGACAGTATATGCCTGTTTGACAAAAAACAAAGAATAGACTAAACCATGTGACATAGGCAGTTTTGCGGATTTCGTTTCAGAGAATATCACACTAACTGTAATAAAACGTTGATATGTCCAAAAACTAAAAATGACTCTTAGAGTCTCTTTGTAACTTTTTAATTGTCGATCGCGATTGTAGAAAAGCATGACATTTAAAGCATCGATAACATCAAGCGCGCTTTTTTTTCAACGTTTCAACAGTCAGAGATAAATTTGGTGCACCTTGATCAACTAAATTTCCGTTACGAAGCGTGAAGCCCAAAATCTTTTAAGCGTCAGAGAAAAATATTCAGAAAGTCATATCATGACACTTGAAGTTGTCTCAAAACTGGACACATCGCATAATGACTGTGATGTATCCTATGGGGCTTACAAATAAAAGTACAAGAAACGCAGGGCTTGATATTGAATGTATGGAATGGAGATTGCTTCTATTTTCGAACATCAACGGTTGAAATTGAAATAATCCAACTGTTTTCTTGCGTGCTTTTGTTGGCTGGAGTTGTTTTCATCCACTTTTCTCTTATATCCATCCGTCGCTGAAAAGGAGCAAACAACCACTAATGAATTATTTTGAAGACACATACATCGGAAGACGGCGGCCTAATGGACAACACCAAGATTTCCAATTGAATTATGGAATATGCAGTTAGCGGACAATCAACCATTCAATGCGTACAAATAATTCTATCGAAGCCTGGCATAGAAGACTTAATTCGGTTATACAATGTTAACATCCGTCTCTCTGGATTTTTATCGAAAGTCTCCACAAAGACGAAAATTATATTCATCATCAGATAGTGAAGATTAATGCGGATCAAAAATCGAATCCAAATAAAAAGTATATGGACTATGGTAAACGTCTAAAGCAACCACTTGTTGCTCCACACCCAACACTTCCTAAACGATTAGAAGTACTTGCTAGAAGCTTGTAATTGTACTCATCTTTCAATGTGCTTCTTCTTGAAATGTTCTGTTGCTTGTTCTATTGACATCTGTTTGAATTCTTCTTTATGTATTAATCATACTACTCCTTTGGTAGTTAATGTTGAGCATGCGACCAATTCTACCATGCGACTAATTGCCGTAGAGTTCAGTTGTTGCTTCGACCAGTTGTCGTAGAACCCACTTTTTTAACTGATGTCGTACTTCTTCTAGGGTATTCTAAATATCTTGTTTTTCTATATTCGAACATTTTCAATGTTCTGTTTCTCTTTTGGGCTTATCCAGTAACGATTATTCCTGAGTTCTTTAAACATGTATGAGATAGTGTGTTTTCTTCGTGTATCTGTGTTATTTGTTATACTGGTAGTTAGATTTGACATAACAATAGGAAAATTATTATTAGAATTATACTTGATTGTAACAGAGAGTGCGAGTGAAATGTTCGAGAAACGCGCTGCGAGGATAAAAGACTAAAAGATCCGACGGAAACAATAGCCTTTCTTATACAAAAGACCTTGTATAAGTCAACAGCAACTCTGAAGCAAGTGAGAAAAAATAATATTTTTGTCATTATTTTCATGGAAAATAGGAAAAATACCTTGAAAATACGTCCTTCACGTTACCCTATGGGACAAGTCTCTTTCGTTGTCTTATTCGTTCCATGGGGTCCCATGAGATGCCTCACTCCATAAGAAGCCCTGGTTTGTATAAATGTAAACGTGTGCTATTAAATGGCATCACTTCCGAGTGTTCAAAACATTTGTTCAAAGAAATAATTTAATTTTTTAAACGTTTGCCGGAGAAATCACAAAACTGTTTACCTTTTCTTTCAATCGGTAGTCTTGTAAGAGAAAGTTTGTTTCTAAACAAGGCACTTTCCAGTTTACTGCAATGTTTGCTCGCTGAGCTATTACCATTTTACTGGAAGTTCAATGAAGCACTAGTGCGTGACGTCGTTTTCTAATCTTCGTTGGCGCCGCTACTGACCCTATCAGAATTTCATCCGATTGAGCAGAAGACCTTATCATAGTTGCTCAAGGTCCTACCTTAGTCTTTTTCCCGTTTTATAAGATTTTGTTTTCGTTCTGAATTATGAGGTGTTGAATTACAAACCAGCTTTTAGAGGTTTTTCTATAACCCTGTAATAAACAAAATTTTTGAGTAGTCTGAAATAGGATATTGAACGCCTTTGTGGTAAAAGTCTAAGTTTACTACTTATTAAATTGTTCAGACAACGGAGAAGTGCTGTGGAGACAGGGAAAGTATAATCTTAAGAAAATTATAAATATTAAGCGAAAAGAGCTAGAATTGAATGTCGAAAATCTTGGCGTGCGTGACGGATAGAGGTATTGACCAGGTAGCCCAATGGTTAGTGCATAGACAAGGAATGTCAAGGTCCTGGGTTCGAACCATAGTCTGGTCACACATTTTTCCTTCACAGCATGGTCTCGCTCTAATAGAAAACGCGCATAAAGCCGCACGTATTCCAATTCGAGCCTAGTAAGGTATAGCTTGTTACGTCTAACTTGAAATTAAATATACATAATAAATGTTCGAATCACTTTGTGTTTCCAGTAACTAGAAGACTGGCTGATGTTTTTACTTACTTGTTACACACATCTTTATCTTTTACTTGCAAATAACAGTTTAATGCCAAATTGTATTCACCAAGTTTAAAATAAACATCGCCGAGTAATATCCAATCTGGATTAGAAATATTAATTAATTCCATTCCAAGCGACTGATCATGTTGAAATATATCTCTGACAATTATTTTCCATTCTTCAATAGTTTCAAATGACTGTTTCATTTTAAAGCATAATAACAGTTTAATCTTATCATAATAAATATAATCATCATTATTCCATGTTTTGTTCCAATAGTAGTCATCTTTAAAATAAACATGCTCAAATGTCAGAAAAACAATTACATTTGTATTTGGCTTTTTTAACAGCGTTAAAGCATAATTCATCCATAAAAATCACCAGGGTGCAATAAATGTGGATCAACAACACGACTTTTCGACTGTAATTCTTGTGTGCAGACAAAAACTATTAGTTGTATCGTAGGACAGGTGAAACCAATCTATGTTTGTACATGAAATTAATTTTATCAGTCTTAGGTTATAGTTAGACAATAAATGTAAAGCTTTTCCCTATACCAGTTTTTTCTTCGCACTTTGTTTTTTTAAGAGACACGATGCTTAATTTATTTATCTATTTTTTTGACTAAGCTCGTTTGAAAGGAGAAATATGTATAGTTTTTACATAATATAATGATTAATATGTGCTAGAACATATGGTGTCGGTACATAACTCGTTTAGCCTTCTCTGTCGGACTATTTATAACTTTCGATGTACAACATGAATTTCTTTCAGAACCTAGTATGATACATCATTACTGTAGCTAACCAGAGGTACTATGAGAAATTGGATGTTTGAGACTACTAGAGGTTTTGCAAAAGATTTCAGGAAGATCTGCAGAAATCTTTTTTCGATAACCAGATCTTTAAAGTTTGTACAAATTGGTTTGTTTTCATGATAAAATAGCCCAGGATGTCCTCTTTAAATGAAACTCTTTCAATCTGTTCATTTTTTATGTGTTAGGGATGATACAGGATCTCCTGAGAAGGCTATGATCGTTTTTCGACGATCTTTGACAACCTCCAAAATGGCTAGAACACACATAATCGACTAAGCAGAATCTCGCGGCAATGTTCGTTTCCAGAAAAAGACTTTGAAACAAATCTGGCTCAGATGAAAGAACTCATTGTTGACTATTTCTACAGTTCTGTAATTTTCTCAATCTGAATTATTATGCGGTGAGAAAGGGCGAGCAATGGTGGTTGTTATGGGCAATGAAGAGTATAAACGGTACAGTGAGTACTCATTCATGTACGAGAAGCACAAGAATCGTCCAATATCAAACACAAATATTAGAAGAGTATGGGCTGAAATCACTAAAATTCTTCTTGCTTTCTGCCTCCAAGTTTAGAAAAACTATTACGGAATTTCTACTATTACGGAAAAACTACTACGGAATTTCAAAAAATGGAAGTGTTTTGGGGGTATTCCAGTAAAATGCAAATTATTCAGCCTTAAATTAATTTTAGAATGATTGCTTAATTATCAAATTAAAGCGCACAGTTCGCGCTATCAGAATCGCTACTGACTTTCAAAGGAAATCAAATAAAAGTGAATGTTACGGAATTTCACCATGTTTTGCTCTTCTTTGCAGATAGTCTGATATATATTTTTCTGTCACAGAACTACTTAGCAATCTGTAATTTGCACATAGATAGATAGTTTGAGGTGCCCTTCATCCCATGCAGCCAAAAATAAAAATTCAAGTTAGATTAGATGGACATAAAACTACGCACAAAATAAGCTCCAAAACCTTTTCTCGGAAAAAACAAAAAATTGGCATCTAAACGTCAATACAATGAGCTCTTTGATAGAGGATTATACGACGGTATAGTTTTCAGAATTTTTAAAAAACACATCTAGAACGATCTAATGATGTATTTTTAAGTTTTGTTCAAGTTAAAACAAAATTTCGAATCTTCTCATCCGAAGGTGGGGCGTTAGCTGGCACGCGGTATGGCAAACGATTTAAATTTGTACGTGAGCATTGGCACCACTTGTTATTGTATTGAATGTTACTTCTATCTATTGTACAAGTATACCTCCACTATGAATTATAAAATCGATCCATAGAAGTCTCTTGGTTGTTGCACGGCTGAGCTCGTAAGTCGATAGAAAACGAAAAATAGCCTAGTTAGGCTAGTGCCCCTTTAGCTTTCTTCGAAAGTTATAGGCATTTTTCTGAGTTTCCTAGCGGAAAACGTGAAAAAATGAAAAATTCGTAACTCCATCAAATAACCACGAAATCGCTTGAAACTTTCACACAACATAGGTCTATCTATTTAGGAAGTATACCCAAAGTTTCAGACCTCTACGTTGCTTCATTCAAGATCTGTAGATTTGTCTTTTTTCTTCACCTCTGCTTTATTTTCCAACACTACTATATACAAACGAATTTTAAAAAAAAGCCTTTTCAACTTGGATAAAATAGAAAAATATGGCAGGAAAAAACATAAATAATCAACGCGACGCTACTTCAGACGCGATAGATATAACAAATGAATTATACTTTTTTGAAAAGGAAGTGCTAACTGATGATGAACAAGATCATAATGCCCAAGAAAAAACAAGTGAAGATGAAGATTTGTCTGAACATTTCCCGAAACATTATGATTATTCAATTCAACACCACCGCATCCATCGCGATGGGTACACATTTTACATTCATGATTGAAACAGTATTTAATGAGATATAAGTGAAAACAGCCGAGAAAAGATCTGTCAACGAAAATCTTCTTGCTTATCTGCCTCCAAGTTTAGAACAACTATTTCACTTAACTAATCATTAAGTTACATTTCATTACTTACCATAATAATATATTTGACAAGCATAATATTTCCTTATAACTTTATAATTATATATATATGTATGCATGTAAATGTTTACCAAAACGAAACGTCCATTGAATCGAATCTCCAAAGTGACCATATGTATGTACGTCCGTCACCGTGTGTGCTTAGGTCAGTCACATCTGTGTATCTGGGTATTTTTGAGATCCTCTCAGTAATTTGAATTTTTCTCCATGAAGAAATGACTTTTGGAGGCTCGGAAGGTGTTATTCGTAATCAGCTCGTTAAGCTGAATCTGAATATGTATAATAATACCAAAAAAAAGTTTCACTTGAGTTTGCATTACGTGCATCTTACAAAGTTGAATTTTTAGGAAAAACGTGAAAGATCGTAAATAAACTTCCACTACTCCCTCCATTAATACTTAGTTTTTCACTTCTTATGAATCCATTAAAAAAATGTCTTGTTTTTCCTCTTCTATATTTATTTAGAATAGGTGAGTGAAGGTTGCATTGTATGAGAATGTTAGATAAAATTCACTTCACATAAGACTATTCTCTTCTGTTTTTTATTATCAAATCGAGTATTAATAAAAACGAATTTCACATTGCATTTCTTTCAATTTAAAACAGAAACACGATAAAAAATTCATACTCTTCTTTTTCCAATGGTAACAGCATCAAACTTTTCTTACTTCGAAGACAGTGGCCCACCGATTCCTCATCAACGTTTTGCCGACTTTGTCTATAAAACCGATGTAGCTCTGCTGCCAATCGATGGATATCAAGACTTGCCCCTCCTATCACTCGAAGATGCCATCAAACCGATAGAAAAGTATCTTGATCCATCTATCCAAGACAAAATCTATGTAGCTAAACGACGTTGTCGTAATCCGGAAGATGATTTGACTACAGATGAGAGTGCATCGATTCAACTTTACACAACGGAATCAACCACACACGAAGAAAGTCTTTACTATAATCTGAACAAAACACTACATAAAGCTGATCGAGGGCTTCTCAAACCATGGTATAGTTATTTAAAGTTGATATTAACCGCTCTGTGGAAGTTATCATCATTCACAGGACTTGTGTACCGTGATGTGAATAGTAATCTCTCGAAAGAATTTAAAAAAGGTGAGACGGTTGTTTGGTGGGGTTTCAGTTCATGCACAACTTCATTAGATGTCCTGGAATTAGCTCTTACTAAGATTGAAGTGTGCCAACTCACACTGTTCAATATTGAATGTACAAATGGTAAATTGATCAACAATCATTCGTCCTACGCGGCAGAGGATGAAGTATTACTTTTACCAGGGACCGAACTGTTGGTTATAGGAAAAATGCAGATGGGGCATAGTGTAACAATTATACATTTAAAAGAAGTGACAGACAGTAATGTTGTTCTACTGGAACCACCATTTACAGTTACAGATGACATATCGAACAGTTTTCATCCGAATCTGACATTTACATTTGGTCCAACGATAACTCCAACAGCAAGTACTGTGCATAATAAATCACGAAAAAAACTAAGACAAGAAGTTAACGAACTTGTAAAACAACTCGAAACAAATAAAATATTTTTTGGATGGTTAACGATAAATATTGAGAGTTTGTTGATTGAAGAATGTAAAGAAATTGTTCAAGGTCTGAAAGTTAATACAAATGTGAAAGAGCTGACAATCCAATCAAAAGACATATCGATGAAATGTCTTGAGCATCTGATCGGTTCATTAACGACCAATAAAAATATAACAAAACTCCGTATACAAGGAGGAGAAGATCAATATTTAGTTCCGGTCTGTACACATACACTGATCGATGTTATAAGAATGAACAAAACTGTCACAATCCTTGAAATGTTAAATACAAGGATAACGGATGATGAAATCAAGATGTTAACTGATGTGCTGAAGAAGAATACGTCTATAATTCGAGTCTCCTTATGCGGTAATCCGTATCTAACTGTGAAAAGTGTTCATTATATAGGTGAACTAATTAAAACAACCACTACTCTCCTTGCTCTTCATTTCTATGGTGATCACAATATCAATGATGAATGTGCCATTGTAGTTGCATCTGCATTAAAAATAAATCGATCACTGACACAGATAGAGATGAGTTACAGTCAAATATCAGATGAAGGTGCAGGAGCATTCGGACAAATGTTAGCAAAAAACAAAACTGTAAAAGAATTGTATCTGCATAAAAATCAAATAACGGATATTGGTGCAAAAGCATTGGCGGAGGGATTAAAACAGAATACGACACTAACACAATCTGACAACAATCTGACTGTTTGGGGCAATCATTTCAAAGAGTCAAGTGACGGTGGTGAAGCGTTGATAAAAGCAAAAACAGATTCATTAGATATTGGCTTTAAATCGTTTTTAGAAGAAGGGTTAATTTTAAGCACGCCAATCTTTGAATGAATCTTTTCTTTATTTCGTCTATGGTACCGTTCAATCAGTGTCGTTCATCGTCTCCTTCTCATGTAACTGTCGAAGACATTAATACAGGTTCATTTTCACCGAATACTTTGATCTTCCTGTTAAAGTTCATCTCTCTCTCTTCCAGCTGTCACTGAACAAACGACAGCTGTTATCGGCTTGGGATTTTTAGTGTAGTTACACTTGCGAAACACACGATAGAAAACCAAAACGTCCGTTGCATCGAATCTCCAAAGTGACCATATGTATGTACGTCCGTCACCGTGTGTGCTTAGGTCCGTCACATCTGTGTATGGACACACACACACTAACAATTTATTTCTCATGACCATAGACTTACAGTTAATGGAATAAGTTAATGCATTAGCTAGAGCGCGGAAAACTCTTTTTAGAAAGATAACTTGATCTTCGTCAAAGATCACAAGTGTAACAGAAATAAAACTGCGAAGTAGTTTCATGACAGAATCACGTGTTGAAAACACGTGAAAATACAATGTCTACAAATTTCGACTTATATGCTTTTCAAAGAAACAATTATTTATCGCATCAGTCGTTCGCCTGATAGTTGCATATTGTGTGAAAACAAACAAGTATAACAATGAGCTGCTCGGTCTACCGAAAAAAAGTAATCATTGTCAAAAGTTGTGATGGCAACAATAAATATAAATACAGATATTAGAAACTGAAACGTATTAAACACAAAAAAAGAAGTTGAAAACGAAAAAGTTATGTTAAATCGATGAAAATCTTTACATGAAGATATATCAAGGGGGAAATTGCGGACTTTATAGACTTGATCGGACTTACGGAGACTTTACCGAACTTCAAAGTCCCCAAAGTCCTCCGACTTCAGCGGACTTTGGGGACTTTGAAGTTAGGTAAAGTCTCCGTAAGTCCGATCAAGTCTGAAGTCCACAATTTCCCCCGTGAGATATATACATTTTTAAACATAATAATGAAATTTGTATGCTTGATACTACATTAATGGCACAAAGAAAAGGAGACGAAAGTCTTGAAGAACTAACGATTTTAATGTTATGTGATAATAAAACAAATACACTTAAACGTATTGAAATTCTTTTACAACAACTTCTGTACTATCTAAAAGTCTTTTATGAACCAGATGAATGTATTGATTACATAATATCAATTGAAAATGAAAATAAAAAAGTCTTATTAATTCTCGTTGGTGATGTGTATGGTACATATGATATGATTGATTTAATTTATGAAATACAACAAATTTTATTTATTTATATTTTATATGATAATAAATATGATTGTAAAATAAAATATTTAAATAATTTAACGAAAAAAGTTGTTGGAGAATTTATTGATGAAAATTTATTGTATAAAAAGTTAGTTAATGATATTGAAAAATATAATACAATAATACCAATGACAATATGTAACTTAAATGATATTAATCCACAAAAATCAATTCGTGATTTAACTAAAGAACAATCAATATTTTTATGGTATCAATTTTTAATTGAAATATTATTACGTATGCCACAAACAGAACATGCTAAAAATGTTAAGTGAATGTAATTCACACTATGAAAATGATATAATTGAACAAAAAAAAATTCAAGAATTTCATTTTGCATATAATTCAAATAATAATAATAATAATGATAATAATGCCATATGGTGGTATACACGTGATTCATTTTTATATCGATTATTAAATAAAGCGATAAGAACAGAAAATATTGAACATATAATGAAATTTCGATTTTTCATTAATAACTTACATAAACAACTAACAAAATTACATACAGAATATATTCAAGAAATGTTATCAACAACAACAACAATGTTGACGGTATATCGTGGACAATTTGTACATATAAATGAATTGGAAAAATTTAAATTAAATATAGGTAATTTAATATCAATGAATACATTTCTATCAACAACGGCAAACAAAGATGTTGCATTAATATTTGCTGGTGATGGTGATGATGATAATGATGATGAGAAGGATAAAGATGGTAGCATTAATAAGCAAAATTATCTAAAATCTGTTCTATTTAAAATTGATATTCCTATTCAACATTCACTAACAACAAAACCATATGCTGATATATCAAAAGTTAGTTATATGAAAGATGAAAATGAAATATTATTAGGTATGGGTTCTATATTTCGTATTGTATCTGTTGATAAATTAATTATTGATCATCATCATCATCATATATGGGAAGTAAAACTTTTATTTAGTGAACAAGAAGATAAACATATTAATGACTTAATGAATTATATAGTTAAAAATGAAATGAATGAAACAGCTGATTTATTAATAATTGGAAAATTTTTTGCTCATATGGGTGAATTTGATAAAGCATTAAAATATTATGAAATATTATTAAAAGAACAACAACAAATACCATCATCAAATATTTTATCAGCTATCTATAATAATATAGGATATATACATAAACAAAAGAATAATTATGAATTAGCATTAAATTATTATGAAAAATCATTAAATATTGCAAATAGAAATAGAAATGAAATTGAAATTATTTATATATTAAATAATATAGGTGAAATATATTCAACTACATGTAAATATGATGAAGCACATAATTCATATAATAAAGCATTTAATATCTATAATGATTACTTTTCATCATCAAACAAATCATTTCCTATTCTTTCAACATTATATAATAATATGGCCCTATTATATATAAATAATAATGATTATAAAAATGGATTAATTTATTTAGAAAAGTCAATTTTAATTCAAGAACAAATTGTTCCATCATATCATCCTAGTTTAGCTACATTATATGGAAATATAGCTAGTATATATCTTGATCAAGGTATGCATACAAATGCATTAATCTATTATAATAAAACAAAAGACATACAAGAAAAAATCTTACCAATATATCATCCTGATTTAGCAACATTATATAATAACTTAGGAACAATTTATGATTATTTAAATAATTATAAACAATCATTATTTTATTATCACAAATCCTTGGATATACGACAAACATATTCAGATTATCATACAAATTCGGGTATTGCTAAAAGACGCGAACACCTACGAACATCCACGAACACCCAAAAAACTTTTTATAGTTTCGCTTTTTTAACAAACATTTTTAATTAA